TAAACTAGCACCTCACTGTTAAAAGCTCGTTTTAATTTCAAGCATGTTTAAGTATTTATGGACATGAACAAAAACAGGAAATATATAAATTGAGATTTATTTAATTAATATAACAAATAAGGGGGAAAGAGTCATTGAAAGGCACATTCTTCCGGAAGCTCCTGATCCTGACGACACCAGCAGGAGACCAGCTGCAGACACCAGAGGACCTAGAACCAAGAGAGCAGCTGTTATTAGTAAATAAATAAATCAGGGCAGTTTTAGTGATCTGAACACATTACAGAATAATTTTCTCATGGGGTATTTTCATACATTTCTATGCAGCAGACTGTAACTTGAGCCCAGGGCTACCGGAGAGCTGCTATCCAGCACGTTTCAGTGGTTTCCCTGCTTTAACAGGTTAGATTAGCTGTTAAGCAGCTCAGCTATTTGTTGCTGATTAAAACCAGGTGTGTTGAAGCAGATAAACCTCTAAAACATGCTGAATACTAGCTTTTTAGGGCCGTGGAGCCAAACCCTGCAGCTAATCCAATGCTATGGCTAACGGCTACTTACCATTCAGAGCTGGTTCTGTTGGGTCGGTTCCGCTAGTTTCAGGCAACTCACAAGCTCAAAACAATAAGGCTCAGGTCCGCTTGTCTCCTCCAAATAGACTAGGTCCCTTTCTTCTCGAGTGTCTGGGTAAGGAGGGGGAGAAACGTCCTCCACTTCTAATAACTGCTCAGAGTGAAGGGAGCTAGCATCGTCTAGTTAGCCATCGTCTTCGTCACTGCCGCGGCTCCGCCCTCTCGGTCCTCCAGGCAACGCCTACTAATGTTGCATTTTTTAAAATTGATACGTGGGTGGAGAAGGACTCCGAGGCACACTTGACCTGCTCTTTAAAAGATTTGAACTGATTTTTGTTCTGACACTGAGTGAAGGGATCTAGTTAAATTTGTTGAGGGTGGAGCTTTTGTTTGGTGTCACATTTCTTAGTTTTTGGTAAATTCTGAGGTTGTGCTAGCCTATAGAGCTCCGGACCCCACGTGACTCTCAGTTAGTAGATGCCATATTGGCAGGAAAAAAAGGTAAACAAACATGGATCGTAAACATGAACATGAACGGGATCGGCTTGGATTTTACTTCGTCTGAGTTTACTTCACACTTTAAAATCGAAGAAATTGTTTTATATAGTCAGAAATTAAATAGATTAAACATCTCCGACCCTTACCGTGCCCCTGGGATACTTTTTAAAAACGCCAGAAGCTGTCGTAGCGGACTTCTTACCGGACCTGGCCGGGGAACCCCTTGGGATTTACCCGGAGGAGCTGGCCCAAGTGGCTGGGGAGAGGGAAGTCTGGGCCTCTCGACGCCACTGCCCCCGTAACCAGACTCTGGATAAGCGGATGAAAATGGATGGATGACAAATAACATAGATTTACACGTAAGTAGTTTAAATAGAGTTCTGTGCTGCTTGAATGTATAAACTGAACGCCAAGAGAAATCACTAATCTGATTTTTTACCGTGAATAAAATAAAAATGTCAGGCAGGAGCATCTCAGGATCTGTCTTAGATCTGTCTCGGTGAGACAGATAACAGCAATCCAAAGTGCTTTTTATGTGTGATCTGACAATTGATCAACCATTGCTTAAAAAATAAATACAGCTTAGCCGGTTAATTGCTGTGATCATAAAACACGTAAACGGCAGCACGCAGAACTCACGAGGCAACGTTTTACGTGATGTTTACTTACAACAGGTATCTACCATATTTCCCATTTGATTGAGTTTTCTGACAATAACAAATAGTCCAGCTGCGGGCTTCTGCATGCCAATATGGCGCCGTCAACTCCCGGAGCTCTATACTTGACAATTCTTCTTTTAACTGATTGCAGGATTTTTCTTTTTAGTGACCAGATAAATAGTCTTTGGTGTGACTTTTGTTGGGTTTTTAGTCTGTTCCCAAACAGAGACCTGTTGTTCATCAGTCACTCTTTTCAGATCCAAAGTCCTTTCTTTAGGATTTGAATTGTTTGTTTGGGGCACAGCGATCTCATGGACTTCTGTTTCTTTTTCTAAGTTGGAGCTTTGGTCCTCTTCTTTTTATTTTGTTTTAGATATATTTATATTCATTATTTAATAATGTTCCTTGTATTTGCTGATGTGGTTGGTCCCTTATTGCTGATTAACCCAACATGTGTGGGGTTACTCTTTTTATTTGGGGAGTTTTGAGAGAAACCGGAGCGCCCAACATGAAAAACAAACACTAAAAGGTTTGAGCAAGGCCACACTTCTAACCTTCCTCTAGGATCTTGTAGCTTTTTCATATAAACACATCTTGTTACCAGTTTGGAGAAGAATTTTCTAATTCTCCTTAAACGTTTTTTCTCAGGTTCACCATGACATCTGATGTTGGGATTTTGATGAGTCTCAGGGTTTGGATCTACAGAAGTACCAGCTACCTCTGTGGCATTACCTACGAACTCTTGCTGTGACTTGGTTTACTGATTTGATTCTTCAGGTAGATGGAAGTTGGAATCATCACAATTATTATCAACAGATGATTTTATAATGAGATCAGCAGGTGATGTGTTTCTGTCACACTCACTCCAACAAGGGCTGTTAATGTTAAATATTTCCCATGATCCAAGTCCTGTCTCTGCATTGTGAAAATCTTACTGATCACTAATAGCACCTTTGTCTTCTTCTGAAGTAGTTTTTTGATGAGATAAACAGTCATTGGTGTCCTCAGCAGTAAAACTGTCTGGGTTCTGGTATCCTGCAGTTATGTAATGTGCTGCTGTCATATAAGAGCTGTTACAGTCTTTGGAAGGGTGCTCCATGGTGATAAATGTTTTAAAATCTCATCTGACAGGATCCTATCAGCTGAATTCCAACTAAGCAGAAGGTCTATGAATGCTTTTAGATATTTAACTTTATTGGGGTCATCCATTTCTGTTGACATTTCCAATGAGTCAACCAGAGAATTGATGGTGTCAAAAACTGAACAGCTCTTTTTAAATGTCTCATCTATTGTCCATTCAACCTCATCTGGTGATCTGAAACTCCAGAACGGAGCAGACCCTCTGTGCTTCAGGATGAAAAAGTGCTTAGCTCTATTCCCAACATCTAGTCAACCATTGTCAAGGTGACCAAAGAGCTTCAACATAACCCTGATGTCTTCATAATCACTGCATATGGGAAATAGATATACCCCTAGAAACAAAAGCGCCAATGTGCAGATAGTGATTATTTTACTAACTGATTTGTCTGCAACAGTTATCGATTGATTATTGAAATAATCAGATAAGCCTTTATATTTCCTTTGTTTAGAAAATATGGTAAAATGTAACGAAGCAATGCTAATAGTGAAAAACAAGTCAATAAGAAGTATTTTTCTATTAAGGCTGTGAAATCTGATGATATAAAATCATTAAGGATTATATAGTGATGACGATCTACCAACGCCAGGAGATTGTAGAACAGTCTTTTTGTGTTTAGTCACCTGTGCCATTATTTCTGGACGCGTCTACCGGCACTTTTTTTCTCAGCCGAGTCATACTATTTGCTAGTCTGCTTCTTTCGGCACGACAGACACAGCGAGAGCAAGGTTAAGGTTGTGTGTTGGTTTGTTTAGCTGGGGTGCTCGGTAGAGCAGAGGAAAATACCGTATTTTCCGGACTATAAGCCGCTACTTTTTTCTCACGCTTTGAACTATGCGGCTTATAATGAGGTGCGGCTTTACTGAAGATGTTCCTTCACCTGCAGGGGGCGCTTTAGCAGAAAGTGAAACAGGTGGAAGTCAAAGGTGGAAATCGAAAGTGCTCATTTTAATTTAGCACATGTAAGCAGCCGGCACGAATAAGAATTGTTTTCAAATCCATACCCCCTCATCATGGTAACTACACGTATGAGTTCATATGATGCCACATTTAAGTTGAAGGCCATTGATCTGGCAGTAAAGGAGGGAAACAGCGCTGCCGCACGTAAGTTTGGCATGAATGAATCCATGGTTCGGCGCTGGAGACGGCAGCGGGAAGAACTCATTCAAGCCAGCTTCACCCGGGGATGATGACAGCAACACGGACAGCGACACTGACATCGCCACAGAAAAGGTTTGTGACGAAGCTCTTCTGAGGCTGTTCAGCTCCGACACTGAAGAAGAGGACGTTAATGGCTTTAGTGCACAGGAGGAAGATGAGAGCGAATGACTTCTTCTGGTAGGTATGCGTGTTTTATTTACTAACCAGGCATGTTTTGTGTGCAGTTTTTATTTTCTAATCATCCAGGGCTTATTAATGCTGTGTCAGCGCTGTTCTTTTCTTCTAAACATGCAAATTACCGGTAATAACGTGTCAGTGCTGTTTTTATTTTATAACCATCCAGAAATATGAATGCTATCAGTGCTGTTTTCTAAACTTGCAGGCACGTTCACCCGTGTTTAGAATTCATTTTGTTGAATTAAAACAACAACGAAAAACCTCCACCATCAGGCCAGGACAGGAAAATGTACAGGTATAAGTATTGGTTAATACCTGTAACATAAAATATTTTCTCGTCTTGATAAAGTAGGTAGAACCAATGTTTTTCACTTTGCTGCCAACTTTAGAAATCTCTGAAATTTTGAGCAACAATAAAAAAATTTTTTTTTAATGAAGTAACCTTCACGCTTTCCTGTGTCGATTCTTAAAATATTTTCTTATCACGGTGACTTAACATTCCTGTTGCTATAACAGAATTGCAAGTCATCCATCAGAACCAGACATACATGGCTTTGTTCAACTAGAGCAAATGTGAATTATTCCAGTCTCTAGTTGTACTTGTGTGGGCTGAAAAAAGGATCGAATCTTAAAAATGGATAAATGAATTTAATTCCTTAGCATACAGATGAGGTTTTTTTTTCTTTGCTTTTTTCTTTTTGTCTTATTCTCCTGAATAAATAAGTAATTCTTAAGTATAACTTAACATCACTGGTTGTAAACTACAACAGTCCTGTGGGGTATGAAGATGTTATCTCTTACCCAGGACCAACTGCTCCCAGATGACTGATTGAATCCAAGTCTACTTTGTCTTGCTGTACCTGCTTCACAGCATTCATCAGCTTCTGCTGGTCTCCAGAGTCTGTGATCCCAATCTGACAAATGAGAAATCACAAATAGATTTCATTCATGTTTGGAGAACAGTTTTTTAATTTTCGAGAAAACCTGCTTTTATTGCAAATAAACCAAATGTGTCCCAACAAACCAGGTCTACTTATTGTTCTGACGGATCAGGAGAAGAAAATACAGAACAAATGTTTTGTGTTCTGAACTGGTTCCCAACAAGGTTCAACTCCTCCTGAGCCTCTTACTAAACAATTTTAACTCTTTAGTGTTTTAAGTCAAAGCTGATGAATCAAGTCAGACGGCGTACCTGTTAATCGTCTACGTCAACCATGGGTCATTTTCGGCTAGCTAGCAGACACTGGATAGCTTCTTACCCCTACTTCCCACTGGAAGCATCAGCAGCACGGAACGGCAGCAGAACATTACTGGCTTCAAATAAAATCCCTTAGAGTCTATGAGGGTGATTCAAACCAGCCGCGATGCAGAAATTTTCAGGCCCAGAAATGACACACTGCACTGCTAAAGATAGGATCGGGTTCTATTTTAGACACAACCCGCTTTTGGGACATGTCAATTTTCACAGTTAACATAGGGCTAGAGAGGAAATCACAAACAGTTTCAATGTAAAGGCCCTGGTATTTTTAAAAATACAAGACTATTGCAGCCATGCGTTTTCATATTTGTGCAGATTACGTCAATAAAACAGCTAATTCACTGCATCGTACCAGAAGTGCAGCAGTGTGTTTTTCATGGCTTTAACCCTGGAAGTGGACAGGAACAACATCATAAATAACATTAAACAGCAATATTAAATGTAATTTCCTTCTTTATAGTTTAATGGCAGATGGTAGGGCTGGACAATTAAGTTTTTGTCACTCACTTTGGGTCCAACTGTGAGTCACCTCTGGCTTTCCACATGTTCACACTAGTGTTGTCAAAAAAATCGATACCTAGATATAAATCGATACTAAAAGTGGTATCTAAATAAGATATTCCATCCCTGTGGTATCGATATTATGGACTATTATACACAGCCTTCTTCAAGTACACCGACACGCACGACAGCCAGATGCCGTAAAGCAACCTCCGCCTCCCAGACAAACAGAAGACGCCGCATGGCTACATTGCAATTTCCCACGCGAGTTGTCTCCGATCCAAGTTTTGTCTGCCAAATAAAACAAAAACATAAACAGCGAATTTGGGAGGCGCTTTGCAGCCCAACTTAATTAGCATACCAAGTCCGACACGTAGTTGTATATTCACGCTTATGTGCTTAAAGGAAAACTCCCGTTTATTGCAACCCGGACTTAATTTCTAGCATGCAGTACGTTTGTTTACTCATGCTGACAACTTTGGTGCTACTTGGATTCCCCGGGGTATTTAGATCCATCGGCGAATCGCCATCAGCGAATATCCATATAACGGGTGCGGACGGGCACCTATGGTGCAGCCTCGAAATAACACATTATCTGCACCAAAACATCTCAATGTCAAAAGGTTTTGTTAGGAATCATTAACGTGATTCCCCCTGTTCGTTTGGAGCGGGTCTGGGATTTCTAGGCGTAAACAGACTAGCCACGGCTAATCTAACCGGCGCTTTTAATGACGTCACTGCCGTGCGCCACTCTGTTTTTATTAAGATTACCGGTAGATGTGTTGCCAGTCCCCACATGCCAAAGACAGTGGCAAGTACAGGGTCAAAAGGTGAGCCACACTGAACTGGCTTGTGCGAGCAAAATCAGCCAGAAGACAGGAGCTGGGCTGCAGGTCAAAAAACTGTGGTCAGAAACAAGGGTCACACAAGGGTCACAGGGACAAGAGGACAGAACTGGGCGAAAGGTCAGGAGACTGACCCAACCTCTGGCCCCACCCCTGGCTTAGGAAAGATGGGATTGGAGGAGAACAGAGTGAAGACAAGCCCATCGGATCCAGGAGCCATCTCAAGAATGCTGAAGGAAGATCTACAATTTGCTGCAAAAGATGATGTAATGACCTGTGCCCTTATGTAGAGTACTGCTTGTAATGACCTGTGTTAAGAAGAATGCTGCATGATACCAAATGTCTTGTGTTGAGCTACAAAGTGTGTGTGTCTGGTAAATGACCCCATGACCTTAAGCTGGCCCATGAAGGGTATATAAGAACAGCTCTGAACAGCAGAAAAAAATTCAGAGATTCGGAGATTCGACAAGCAGCTGGGGCAGACGACAAGAAGAGACAGAGCAGATTTGGAGGGGTCATCCCCCGTCCTGCTGGATGGGGGATGACAGGCAGTTTTTTGGAGAGGAGATTCCACAGGAGAGTTTCGGAGAGTTTGGGGCGATTTTCAGAAGACCGAGTTGGTGTACATCAACTCTCTTATTTAATCATTTAGAACTAATTCCTCCTTGGGGGAAGCGGTATTTTTTATATTTACCCATTTTTGTATTCTTTGATTTTGTAATAAACTTTTTGGAAAAAGAAACATAATCCTGATTCTTTCAGGTTTTCTCTAAAGCTTCACGAGTGGGAGCCCTGACCATTAATTGCACAGAGGTAAGCACATTAATTATGGGTTCTTGAATTATCAGGACTTACTTTACGGTTTGTGACAGATTAATATAAAGAAACCTTAAGATAAGGGGAGCTTGACTCCTCCCTCACCTGTGAGTGACGAGTTGTCTTAAGGATGATAAAACCAGAAAATTAGTGGTTAATTTTGGCTCTGATTCGCAAGTTGAAAAAGTCTATCAGCTGGAGGGTTGGATTAATTAAATAAATTGATAAATTTATGTTAGCCTGATCAACTAACAAAAATCATTTTATAGTTACCAACCACCCACATAAGCTGTTAGAGGCGCAATTAATCCAAATAACCCAAAGAATTGCCAGAAGAATTGGCCTTTCTCCGGGCTTCGTCCCTAGTATTTTAACCAAAAAATAAAGGGATTGCTTAAAAAGAAGTGAGCTACTACAGAAGGAAAAGTCTTGCATATTATTTCACCTTTAAAATAAAAGATATGATTCTAACTTAGGACGCCCAAACCAGGGTCTAATACGATAATACTCACCGACACCCCCACAGAACCCTGATGGATGCACAGTCTCATAAGTTCTAACGGAACTGGGTTTTAACGGAACCGGCAAATGGGACGTGCACGCGAGAGATGTACCTTTGTCCTACTGTGGAAAAATTCGTTTTCTCCCTTTATTGACCAACAGAGTTGTTCAAAAGTACAGAACAAAACATATGGCATTACAGCTTATGACAAAAATGCACCTTAAACAGAGTTTAAGCAGCAAAACACCACTCTGCAAATAGTGTATATATAGTGAGACAATTCATGATTTAAAGTGTTAACTTTCACCAGTTTTTGTATGCACGTTTTTAAAAATACTGATACTTGAAAGGTTTAAGCACTTTATACACTTAATTCTTCACATTTAATTTTTGCAATATAAATTGAGGAATGTTATTTTTTGAAAAAACTTGTTCAATAAATTGGTGTTTTCAAATAGTATCGAAATCGAGTCCCCCCCCCCCCCCCCCCCCCAAGTATCGAATCGAGTTTGAAATTTTAGTATCGTGACAACCCTAGTTCACACACTTCTTGGGAACACGGAAATCTTTGAACATGTGGGCCGGGTAAAAGATGCGCGAAGAAGTCTGTGCTGTCCTCCTTTAAGTCTAGTTTATGCGTCTGTGTCCACGTGGAGGCATGCAGCACCATTATCCGTCATTGCGAGGGCTCTCCAGCAGGCTCTCAAGGATGACCGGAGTCCAGCCCACTTTTCTAAACATCCGTAAAACGAGACGCCGCTTCCTTTAAATTCGTCAACAGCACTGCCATTGCACTCTAAAAAACCAATGATATCTAGCAGCAGACACGAAGCAGCTTGAAAAATACTTTGCAGAAAAAGTCTAAAATTATTAAATTTTATTCACCCGTGACTAGAGGAGTAAAAAGATACGCAGCAAGCGTTTTATTGGTGAATCGAAATGACGGGAAAAGTGGGTTTCCTCTACCTCTCCTTGCTTTGACGTCTTGTTTAAAGTCACCTGTTTAATGGTCCAATCCTACACTTACGCACCCAAGTGCAGAAGTTGATCACTCCCCTTTTGCACCCTTGATCCGCACTTCACCCAAGTCTGCATCGATGCGGTCAGTCTGCCATGCTGTCTCTGCGACTTTGATTGACCTGTAACCCACTACAACACAGACAGCTTGTGAAAAAGGTGAACCTCCTCCTTTCTCTGAAAATGTATTCTTATAGAGACTGAAAGCTGACCGAAGACACCTCCCCTCCTCAAAACACATCATATTTGGCTGCAAAAAAGGCAGTTGTCGCAGAAAAGCAACAAGTTTGCCAGTATGATACAAATATATATTAAATACACCTCAAAAATAACCAAACTTAATGAGACAGAGTGCATTTTCCCTGGCGATAGGGACAGTACATACCTAAATCATTGCAAGTAAGCTTTTTTTTTGTGTTCAAATAAGACCGTACCAACGGATGGCCATTAGGTTAAAAAATCCCTGGGATTGCAACCTCCAGCAAAATGACAATCACATCAGACTCCCTTTCATCACTGGCAATGAGTGAAGAGGTAAATGTGTATAACGACAGCGTTTATTATTGGGGAATGTTTTTTAACCATTTGTTACAAATCAGTAAATGTGTTTTGTTCTCACGGGCTTCCATAGAAGGAAACATGGCATCCAATATGGCGTCGCCCAGAGACAGACCAGCTCCCATGTATTTTAGAACAGACTTTTATGGTTATATGTTATGAAACTGCTAAAATTTTTCTACAACTGGGAATCTTTTAATTCATTTACAACAGCATTTTGATGAATATTTCCAGAGATGGATGGTAAAACTACACATTGCCACTTTAAGACGTAACTAAATAGATTTAATACTTTTTATTACTTTTTAAAGGTTTCAATTTTTCTTAAATCACAGAGAGAAGGAAGAATGGCCAGAGCAAGCTGGTCCTGAATATTCTTTAAAAAGTGCGAACAAAAGGAGGTAACGTTTGGACAAA